TATCTGCTGAAAGATTATGGAAATGGAGTTTAATTTATCTCGTTGGTTGTCAAATATAGATGATAATCATATTGATCACAAATGAACCTGCAGTTTCAGGTAATCTAAATTTCCGGTTAGACATGCAATGCAAGTCTTATGAGTTTGACATGGTGATATTTTGCAGTCTTTATGAGTTTATCTATCCTGGTTCTGTCATTTGCAATTGAGATATCGTCTTAAAAATCCAGGGATCCCAGCAACAACTTTCTCAAGGTGACATAATTCATGTGATACTCTTACTAAATAAGATATCTAGGCCTTCTGATATCTACTATTGACAACCAGAAACCAGTTGAAATGTATTTGGGCCTGCATATATGGTACGGTTTTTACATGCATCGATAATAACAGAACTGAACATCTTTTACAATAGAAATGTTGAATTTACTCTTGTAATCCTGTTTTCTGATGAAACAAAATGTGTATTACATTTTTTTATGATCATAAACTTGAAGAACTTAAAAATCATTTTGATAATGATAAATGTGTATTAGCCATTTGGCAAAATCACAAGGTCAGTTGTAGATTTTGATTGTCCCCGTCTTTTTACATGAAAACAAAATCCAAATTGAAATTGGATCATGTAGACAAACATGGAACAAATGATCTCAAGCTTTTTTTTGGCAAAAGCGGTCAAACCTTAAAAATATGAAAAAGAATTATAAGTATTGGCATTTGAATATAAAATTTTTTGAATGTCACTTTTTAAAAGTTATTATAAGAACCAACTAAATTAAATTTACCATTCGACCCAAACAAATTTCATTTTTAGAAAACATAGTATATGATCCAAAAACATGACCAGCAAGCTAATCCTCTTGAGGCAAATTAAATTATTTGAAACTACAAAGGAAACTACCCATTATGTGAAAATTCCACAATGAAAATTGACACTACCATCTTTGATATTGGGATAATATTATGAATAGTTCATAAATTATAGTAAAATTTTTAATATGATATTTAAATTTTAAAATTCTCTAATATATATTTGAATTATAAATTTGTTAATTAATGTGATACTTGATAGATTATTTGTTCATCATATATCATTATTTGAAACTGGTTAAATAAAAAATCAGTATTACATTAATTAATAAATTTATAATTCAAGTACTATGTTAAATATTTTATTTTAATTTAAGATTCATTCGTAATATTAACCATTTCTATTAAATATAAATATAATCACAAATATTCATTGTGTAATTATCTAACCATATCAAAATTTGGGATTTTAATTTTGATAGGTAGGTGCGGTGGTGGCTAAAGGATTCAAAGAAACTTTCTTCTCAATCCCATTACCTATTAGCTAGGTGGCTTAATTTTAGCATGAAAATAAAAAAAAATTTTAATTTAGTTCAATTAATTTGTAATAATTTTTTTAAAAAAATAACATTCAGTTTGGAGTTTTAATTTTAACCCCTGTTACATATTTTTATATCTAAATTATGATTTTAAAAAAAAAATTAAAATGGAATTTATTCATTTACAGTCCAAGTGCAAATTAGCATTGCCAATCTTGTCTGGCACATAAGTTGCTTGCACGACTCATTTCAATTCATTTGATAACTATGACATGATGGGTATTTTAGTTAGGAAAATGTGGACCAAAGCCAGCTTCTATGATTATAGTACTATAATGTTTTGTAAGTTGGCAAATATTGATTGCCAAATTGCCATTCAAACGCCTCCTTTCATTTATTGAGAGTCAGAGTTGTGTAAAAAGATAAGAAAAGTCAAACATTGCCCAACCATTTTGACCAATTGGTCCACATATCCTTACCTTTGAATTATTTTTTTTAAAGGGACGGTGTCTCTTATTGATAACCAACCGTAAATAAATTATGAGTACATAGGCATTGTTTACCTTTCGATCTGACTATATATATAATTATGCAAATACTACATTGCAAATTGGTGCCTGGTACCAAAAAGAAATTTTATCTTAAGGCCGACATTAACATGGACCTCTCAAGTTGAGATGGACTTAATAAGTTGGTCTCGTTCCTCCAATGCTTTAACTTCCCCAAGATGACAAATTTAAGGCTCCTAAGGTCATTAAGTTAGGTTGCTTTCCTTAATTATGAAATTAGTTTAAATTCATGTGATACATGGATATGTAATTATATATATATATATATATATATAAAACTCAATTATATATCATTAAATTATTAAATTTTATATAAACATTAAACAAATTTTAATGTAAAATAATGAAAAAAATAAAAATATTGTAGATCAATATATATTTATCATATATAATATTATATTACAATATACATAAAATCTTGAAAAATTTTATTTACGTAGACATTTAGATGAACAACCTATATTATTGATATGTAAGATAATTTTAAATAATTTTATTTAATCAATTATTCAATTTTAAAAAATTGTTAAAATTTACATTTATCCAAAATTTTCAAAATATATAAATTTTATCCTAATCTAAACTTGAAAATTAATATAAATTAAAATTTTAAATTATAAAAAAATAATAAAAAATTTTCATACATGGTACCAATAAAAAACTAGTATGATATAAAGAAAAGTGCTTTGTATCATATCTTATCTAATAGGATATTTATCCAAAATTAAATAATATTGTATTCCAAACCATAGAAATTTATTTCACTTAAAATCAATCTTAAAAATTTTTACTTGATGCTGCCCCTTACTTTGATGTAAGACGTCTATAACTTACAATAACAACAACAAACCCTTGGCTAAGTGGTGTCCATCCTCGCATTGTCTTCACAAAGGTCAAAGTAATTCAAATTGAATTTGCATTATTTGGCAAATGAGATTGAAATTATATATTACATATTAAACATAAAACTATAAATGAAAGATAAATAAGGGAGCAAAAACTTGTGCCAAATTCTAACAAATTCCAAACTTAATTAAAAAATCTCACCTTATTCGCATCCATTATTTGTTATGAAGAAAAATCTGATAAAATCTCTAAGGACTAAAAACTAATAAGAGATAAAAACATATGAAATTATTCCATTCAAAAGTAAAAAAAAAAAAAAAAAAGAAGCTAATATTGAAAATGAATAGATAAATAGAATATGAACATGCATAAAAAAAGTGAATAAAAGAGAAATAAAATAAACTGGCAAACATGATAAAGAAAAAAGTTTACAAACATAAAAGAACATATAATTTGATGATCAAAATTTTCTTGATCATAATGAAATCAATGCATTTGGAGGATTTTAAAGAGTAACCTCTTAGTACTCTTAGTACACATGATTCTCTATTTATAATAAGAAATTGAGTGATTTTTATAAATTGAGAGTAATTTATGCAAAAAATTATAATGGGTTATTAATTATTTATGTAATATATCTTTTATTTGAAAAGTCTACACTTAATATTTTGAAAAATTCTTATAAGATAATAAATTATACCAATTGTAATTAATACTTTATAGAAAGATATATGAAAATATGTTTCCAACTAATTAGACTTTTATTTTAAGTTAGAATTTTTAGCATTATATGCCTTATATATTCATTTAAGTTAATAAATACATACATTATTTCTTAATTAAATACTAAAATCACGATCATTAAATAGTAAATGCTTTCAAAGTATATTTCCTATTTATAGTATACATGTTTGATTTTTAAAATTAAGAATTTCATTTGGTTGAAAATGATTTAAGATAATTTAATTGTAATACATTTATAAAAGACAAGAATATTGGATATTTATAAGAAAATAAAAAACCTAATTTGGCCAAATAAATATCTTTTAAATTAATAAAATGTATATGAAGTAAAATCAAAATAATTAAATACAGGATATGTGACGATTGTTTAAAACAATCCACATGTCAAAAAAATAGATTATTCACATTGGATTTTTTTTTTTTTTACCAAAAGTTTTTATTTTTATATATTTATATAAAATGACATACACAGCCAATTGATTACAACCCATATACATAAAATCTAATATTATAATGTACAATTATTTTATAATAAAAACAAAAATTTAACATTATAATGTATCATTATTCTTATATAAATATATAAAATCATTATATTATATATATATATTTATATATGACTAACAACCATTATTCATCTGGATATTATATTTAATTAAATATATAAGTATTAAATAATTGATTAAGAAATCAACTATTGACAATAATTATAGTGGCTATTAAATTTTTTATAATATTTTTGAATAAATTTCAATTTAAATTCTTTGAATAATTAAAAAAAATGTTTAATAACCCCTAATTATAGTATTTATTAATTATTTGAATTATTAAAAACTTTTTGATTATAATGTATCATTAATTTGCTTTTAATTTATAATTTATGTTATTTTATTAGAAATAAAAGGTAAGTCAATTGAAAATTTTAAAAAAGTAAATATAATTAACATATTGAAATATTTTAAAAATTTTATGAAATTAAATCAATTAATATCAATTTAAAGAAAAAATGAATAAATATAATTAATACATGACATGTGTCGATTGATGAAAATTGTTCGCATGTCAATATTATAGGTTATTCACATTGGATATTATTTTTTTTGTCAAAATGTTTGACTTTTATATATTTATATAAGATGTATTTTTTTATAAAAAAAAATTCATAACTTGAAAATAATGAAATGATTTATAAGTAGGAAATTTAAATTTTAAATATGCTAAATGCTAATTTATTATATTTAATCTATTATTATCAAAATATTTGATTTAGTGATAAAAATATATATATTTATTAAAAAAATTAAATTTGAATATCTCATTTTCTAGATAAAAACATGAAATATGGAATTGTTATAAACTACAATAACAAAAATAGTGTCAAATGCCAACTAAAATTAATGTAATTTATTTACATAAATATGTAGCATATAAATATACATTACTCAAGGGAAAGAAATGAACTTACTAAGCTTGTCTTGGATTTTTTAATATTAAAAACAAAATAGACAAATTTGGAGTTTAGTTTATTTTATTTATTACTGGCTATGCGTTTGGAAACACAAAAAAGGATAAAAGGCATATTTCAGGAATGATTGAACTAAACTCTCTATACTATTTTCTAACCTTTTCTTTTTCTTTTTTCTCTTTCTTCTTTTTGTTTTCTTCTTTCTTCAATTTACACAAATTACTAGATAAGAAAATTGAGAAGAGAAAGAACAGTTAAAAATAAAAAGAGAAAATAAAAGACTACAAAAGGCCCAAATCACATCTGAAGTGCATATTCAGGGAAGGGCAATTTTCAAGATTTAATTTCAGGAAAGGATAAGATAGAGACACAGACCAAGTAAAACAAAGAAAACCCAATTTGACTGGTAAATTTCTTTTCTTTTCCCAAGAAAAATCGATCAAATATATGATTTTTTTTTGTTGCTGTGTCTCTATTGGGTTTTTGGTTCATTTCCATAAATTTGATTAATTTTTAGTTGCTAAAGAGTTCTCTTGATCTTTCATTTCAGGAAATCAGATTCCCATTGATTTGCAGATCTGTTTTAGCTTCGGGTAGTTCTTGTTTTGTATATATGGGGTAAGTTTTCTGGGTTTTTTTTTTTTTTTTTTAGGATTTTGTTATTTTATGGGGCTTTTATTGAAAAGTTTGCTTTTTTATTTTTTATTTTATTTTTGGTTCTATATGCTTGTATATTAGAATCCTCTTTGTTTGGTTTCATGTGGGGTTTGAGTGAATTGAACCCTTTTTTTTTTTTTTTCCAGTTTCCTGGACAATAGAGGAAAAGAATTTCTTTTCTACATTTTAAGTCTTAAGTTTACCGTTCACTTGTAAACATTCTGGTGAAAATAAATAAATCCAATTTGAATATTGTTTTCATCCTGTTCCCACTTTTATTCCTAAGGAATTGACATGCTCAGCTTGGTTCTTTAATAATGTGATTATGTAGGATTTACAGTTGATTATTAATTTTTGTTGTAGCGTCTTGGCAACCGCTATGGTTGTGTTTGGAAACTAAAAAGAAAAGTTGATTTAGTTTTTGCTATATAGGATATAGTGATGGAGTTTTATGTGCTGCTTATTAGCGTTAGTAAATTGTGAAATATTATGATGTTGTCTGGGATTGATAAGATATAGCAACATAAGGACTTCAAAATGCCCTACCACTGTTTCAGTTTCTAATTTGTTTTGGGGTCAATGTATGGTTTGAGTTAGAGATTTTGATTGGATGAGTTTTCCGATAAAACTTCCAGCAGACTCCCTTGAAGAGCTTACCTCTTTAGGAGGCCTTTCTTTGTAGGTTTAATACCTAATTAGCTTTGTTCCAACGGTTGAAGCTTTGGATTCAAGTGTACTAGTGTTGCTTTTTTATGAATAGTTCTGCTTAGTAGTAGGTTTGTGCCATGGAGCAGCTTTGATTCCTAATTGCTGTGTCTTGTTAATAGATGAACCTAATAGGTGTATCAGAAGTACTGTATCTTGATGTATGCTTTTTGTTGGTAATATGTTTCTGTTGGATGAGACTAAAATAAGGGTTAATGCGGGCTTGAGTTTTGTAGGGAATCATTAGAACAAAAGGTTTTTGATTAAGTTGGTCTTGTACAGAGTACATGGAATGTGAGTTCAGAAAAGAAGGAATTTTAGTGGAGCAACTATAAAAATGGAGGAAAAAACCTATTGCAAATTTAATAGATTCAGTACTTTGGCTCAATCATGTAGAATGATGGTCACATTATTGGAGATGTTACCCAAATGATCCACAAGTACAGTGGTTGACCTCAAGAAGTGGTTTAGAAGTTGTGCGTACAAAATACCTCTTAAGCTCCAGTGAAAAGTTCCACAGGACAGCTTGAAAACCAGCGTTGTTTATTATAGCTAATGTTGGGCATTTAAGTATCAACATAGACAAAAAAAAAATTAGAATGGCTGAGATAAGGATGCTCTAATGGATGTATTGATATGAAAAAAAGCTAGGACTAGAAGATGACTGCAGTTGAGAAATGATAGGGCTGGTGCCAATTGAGGTTAAAAGAAGAGACATGTTTACACTGGTTTGGACATGTGAGAAAAAGGCCAATCAATGCTTTTTGTTAGATCCTCTGATTTAATGGAGAATGCTCATAATAAAAAAGGGGAGATGGAGACCAAACAAGACATGGGAGGAAATTATCATAATGGACTTTGCTTTTAATGATTTTATTTAGGATATGGTCTTAAACAGAATAAAATGGTGAATTTAGCTTACCCCATGCAGTGGAAAAAGGCTTTATTGATTGTACTATGTACTTGTTGGCTATTTAAGGTGGTGGTTTTGTTTCTTATAACTTCTTAGCAAGTTATGTTATTTCGAAATAGATATCTTCTGTTGCTGTCTATTACACTTCATGTAACATGTAAACTATGCTTTCATTTGCCCTTATGAATTTATGTAATTATCATTTGATATCTTCTTGATGAACTTATTATCAGGGTATTATGCTCAGCTTTAGAGTTTTTGGTGGCTGGTACTAATCATTTATATAACTATGTGTGATTTGTAACAGAGCAGTGGTTGTCTAGGATGCTATAAGAGGCCGACTTTCAATCCCTTGGTGAATGAGTCATCAAAAGGATTAAAAGCTCAAGGACAGTCAGTGAGGAAAGCAAGTGTATCAGAAGATTTCTGGACCACTAGCACTTGTGATATGGATAACAGTGCAGTGCAGTCACAGGGAAGCATCTCATCGATCAGCACAAGCAACCAGATGCTTGATCCACGTGGCAGTGCTGCAAGTGCTAATGCCCACTCTGAATTTGTAAATCATGGCAAGTTCTCAGTTTGTAAGTTATATTGGTTGGATTAACATATGTATCTGACAGCTCTATAAACATTAAAGCTTCAAAAGGATTACCTTCCTATCTGGATAGTCCTGCTTGGACCCCTTTTGGCACTAAAACGAGTTGAGGCTGTATTTGCACCATCTTACAACCGCTCTTGGTTACAGGACTTCTTCTCTGGAATCAGACTAGGCAGCGTTGGGTAGGAAACAAGAAGTCTGAAAATCAGCCACGACAGGTTCAAGAACCCAAGCTAAAGTGAGTTCTTACCAGAATATATTAAATTAGTGTTTTATTATTCCCATGGTTTTAAGATCTTCAAGTACGGTTTTTCCTAAGAACTCTCATCCACTTGAAAAATGATCCGTGCTGAGATTTGCATATATGCAGTTATGGAATTACTGCATATGAATCAATTTCCCCTTAACTAAGTTTAAGTGGTGACCTTTGATTTATCATCATGGTTCATTTCTTTTATTGAGGCCACGCAAAGGCACAAGAATAGGAGAAGATATCCTTATTTCTACAAATTGAATTTTCAGTGTCAAATCTTGTGGGGAAGGGAGCAGATTTAATTGTTCCTACTTTTTGGCCTGCCTTGACCTTGAAAGGATGATTTATGCCACAAAACCTTCAAAATTGTTTAAAGAATAAATACAATAATGATAAGAACTTTACCTATGTGGGGTTGGCTGCATGCATTCATATCTGGTCACTGTGCTTTATTTACTACCATATCCTCTATTAGCTCAGTAACACTGAGGTGCTTTTTTATAGTTACTATGACTTCTTTGGTCTTTATCCACCTGTTGACGTTGGCTTTCTTCATTAAGTCACGTATTTATTCTCTGCATGTGTTGATATTCAGTTTCCAAGCATTCGTCACTGTAGGTTGTAAAACTTGAAGATTGAAAAAAAAAAAAAAGGTTAATGTTTTTATGTTCACAAACACTAGAGTGATACCTGCAATAATGTGTAGTGCTTGCATCATTTTGGGTGTCTTAAGATCTGCATCAAGCATTCTGATTTTAGTGAAATTCAGATGCTTGTCATCATAGAACATACATCTTAGGTTAATCAACTTCAAAATAGACATGACGATCATGTAAAATACTGAAATTCATGTATTTGTAATGTGTTTTACTCAAAAATTGCGTGTTACAATTTATATTGGCACAAAAATACGAAATATATTTTTTTATTTTGTTAAATTCATATATAGTTATTATTAAAATTTTAAACCGTATCACCTTTGTGTTCTTTTTTGTATCATATTCGTATTGTGTCACTATGTTGTATTTTAGATTGCCAAATCCACTTCAAAATGCAATGTTGTGTGTACTGAGGGAAAACCGCATCTGGGATAAAACCCTTTGATCATTTATGAACTTTTCCTGTATCATGTCAGCACTCATTGTCTCTGCATGGTTAAACAATTCTGGCTTTGCAGTTGGAATGCGACTTACGAAAATTTACTAGGAAGCAACAAGCCATTCCCTCAGCCTATTCCTCTTGCTGTAAGTCCCAGCTCCAGCAAGCTCATATAATCATAAATTGCTTGCTTACCTGATTTTTGTTGTCATGAAATTTGACAGGAAATGATAGATTATCTTGTGGACATCTGGGAGCAGGAAGGGTTGTATGACTGAGCAACAGTATAACAAGGACAATGGAAAAATGGTTAGTTATTAATATCCATCCTACTTGTTGTAACATTTTAATTGCTCCTGTAGGGAAAAGGCATTGCAGCATAGCCTGGTTGTGTATATCAACTGTAACAATTTCAGGGTGTTGCCTGCTGGCGGCTTCTCATTTTCTATTTGTCTTTTTCTCTCCCAACTCAACGGGCCTTTTGGACATGCCATTGTATTGCATTGGAACTAATCTTAAAAAAAAGAAAAAATGCCGGCTGCCTCAGGTGTTTAAGGCAGCAATTTTTTTTTTTTTTTTGCACAGGTTACTGGCCATACCACCCATTGGAAAGTATTAATTTGCTTTCATTAATTTGAAAGCGTACTGATAGTATAAAGTGATGATAAAATTTGCACAAATTGTTTAGTACGTGCCATGGCTCTTCGTCTTAGGTAAAATAATATGACCATATCTCCTAAAATTATTACTCTATAATTTGCATATCACAGTAATGAAAGTATAGGGTTCACTAACATTATGAAGTTCAAAATTAAAAAAGTGTTGGTTTTAAGGGTGTAAATGATACATTAATACTCGTAAGTTATTCAGATTCGATTCGAATAAAACTCGAATTCAGTTCGGTTATTATCGAATCGAGTTTAAATTCGAATAGTTCAACTTATCGATCGAATCGAATTTGAGTATTTTTATATTTAATTCGAGTAGTTCGTAAGTTTAATCAAGTTTTTATATTTTAATATATTTTAATTATTTTAAATGATAAAATATCTCAAATTCGAATTCGAGTACAAATAATCGAATTTATTTTTACATATTAATCGAGCTTAATCGAGTGAGTTTAAACAATTTGATTTTTTTCTGGAGTTGAATTTGAGTTAAAAAATTTTTTTTTTTTGGAGTTGAATTTGAGTTAAAAAAAAATCGATCGAATTTAAGTAGAGTTTCAAGTCTCAAATTTAAAATAAGTTATTCAGATTCGATTAGAATAAAATTTGAATTTGATTTAGTTATTATCGAGTCGAGTTCAAATTCAAATAATTTAATTTATCGATCGAATCGAATTCGAGTATTTTTATACTTAATTTGAATAGCTCATAAGTCTAATCAAATTTTTATATTTTAATATATTTTAATTATTTTAAATGATAAAATATTTCGAACTTAAATTTAAGTTCAAGTACAAATAATCGAATTTATTTTTACATATTAATCGAGTTTAATCGAGTGAGTGCAAATAGTTCGATTTTTATCTCGAGTTGAATTTGAGTTAAAAAAGAAAATTCGATCGAATTTAAGTCGAGTTTTAAGTTTCAAATTTAAAATCGAGTTCAAGCTTAATATTGTATCGGCTCGAATTTGATTAATTACATTTTTAAATAGTTTTTTAACTTTTTTTTTATTAGGATGGATAATTGCAGGATTATAAAAAAAAAAAATTATAGGTAAAATATTCAAAGTATGATTGATGGCTTATGGAGAGAGAGGGGAGAGAGAGAGAGAGAGAGGAAAATTATTCAATATACTATTAGTAGAGGTTTTTTAACTTCACAAGTAGAATTAATAAAGTAATACGTATTTTTAGGATCACTCAAAAAATCATAGTAATTTACATACGGTGATTATCATCATATTTGGTAATCATTTAATGATTTAAATTATGGTGATTTTAAATTACTGTACGGAAAGATCTAATTTCCATATAAAGGATTGGGAAACAATAGATAATATTATTTATTTAATATATGAATTAAAAATTAACTTCTTAAAATTAATTGTTATTATTTTATATTATAATTTTTATATTTTCAAATTAACATTTATTATAACAAATTCAAAAATATTTTTTATGATTTATTAAAATTTTAAAATTTATTTATAATATAATCTTTTAATTTTAATATATTAATTTGATTTTTTAATTCAAATATTTTTTATATAATTTATACTATAAAAACTAGTTTACTATCAATAAATATATTTTTAATTTAATAATTTAATTATATTTATTATAAAGTAAATAAAATATTATTAATATTTTATATACAAATTATTATCTTTAAATAATATTGAAATCATTAATTTATGGAGTTATTATAATGTGCATAGTTATTTCGATATTTTTAAATAAAATAATGTCTTATTTTTAGTAATATCAAATATAATGATTTTTAATTATTAAGAATTAATAATTGTTAATCAAATAAAATGATTTTAAATCACAAGTAATAGGATTATTTTAATAATAAGATCACTTTGATGATTAAATTACCATGATGATATTGAAAATGATATCAAATGTTATCTTAGTATATATTTAAAATAAAAAAAAAACTAATTTAAAAAAATGGTGAGATATATATTATCTTATTAATTTATCAAATAATTATGCGTATATATATATATATATATATTTAAGGACAATAACCTGTGCTTTGCTTTGAGATTCGTATAATCTAATGTAAATCTTTTAATGTTCATATAATTAAATGTAAATTTTTAAATACAACTATTAAGTCAAGTTTAGACCTTTTATAAGTCTGTTGCTTACAAAATTATTAAAATATAGCATAAAAGTGAATTAATAAACATATTAAAAGATCAAACTATGTACATGCAATACACAAAAATTCATGCCCTTGTCAAATATTACGTTAAGCTTGCACGAAACGTAATATTTATGCTATTTTTTTTTCAATATTACATTTGTAATGAAAAATTATTATTGTATTTTTTTATACATTAATTTTTAAAAGGATAAAATAAAATAAAATAATATTTTATTTAGATCAAATATATTAAAATAATAATTTTTCTCTTAAAATCTTAAAAAATTACATGGAAATGATATTTGATTCCAAGACTTTTAAGTACTATTAGGAAAATAGAAGATTATCATAGGAATCAAATACCTATGAACCAAAAGTGGAATCACATTCCCACAAGCAAGATTCCGAAAAAAAATTTCATATTTCTCTAAATCAAACGCCTCTTATATGATACATAGAGGTGTAAACAAATAAAATATTTGACTAATAGTTTATAAATATGTTTAATTTTTATTCGTTTATTCAACTTAACAAATGATTATAAATAATAGTTTAAAATTTATTAATTAAGCAAACAGATTCTAAATATAATAAAGTTTATTGATATTTGATTTGTTTGTAAAAATTAATAGAGCAATCAATAAACAGTTTGTAAATAAGCTCAGTTTATTTTCGTTTATTAAACTTAACAATCGATATTTCATGATTAGTTAATTAAATAAATAAATCACAAACATAAAAAAATTGATTTATATTCGAATTATTTACACTCCTAAAGATAAATGTATTTCATACTTTTATTTTGTTTTCAAACATCAAAAACAAAATTTTCGAAATTGTTGAAAGCACAAATTTAATATTTTCAAAATTTTTAAAGCACTATTACCATGCGAGTGAAGCAAAAATGTAAAATTTTAAGGAAAACTGCAAGTAGAGAAATTCAAACCCTTACCACTTTCTTGAATCTAAGTTCCAAACACTTTGACTTATTTACTAAACTGTCGTAAAATTCTTGCAATAAAAATATAATAATCAAGTATATTTTCAGTTTCAATAAATTAAAAATAAATCAAAGTAAAAACTTTTGAAACTATAAAACATAAAACAAAATTGACAATGAACCCAAACGACTCTTACCTTTGTGTTCAAAGAGATCGGGCGTTTTACTGATTAGTGGGATAAAAAAGGTTAGCTCTTGCTGTGAAGCTCAAAGTGAGTTTTCTTTTTCTCTTTTCTTTTTTTTTTTTTGGAAAGCAGTATATTTTCAGGTTTTTGTATGGATTTAATAATTCTTTTTTTTCAAACAATTTAAAAATTGTACCTTTTGATATCGGCTTCCCTTATCAACAGAGCTAAACCCTTATGAGTTTTCTTTTTTTATTTTTTGAGATATTTCGATGTCCGATAATCATTTTAAGTTTTAATTAATTTGGAGTCGAATTGAATTGGATATTATAAATAAAAAATTTTTCTTAAATTTATTTATTTTTTATTTATAAGGCTTCAAATTGAAACTTTATTTAAAAAAAAAATCAAATTTTTATCACTTGAACCAATAAACGTTATAAATTTTTCATATTTTAACTTACTACAAAATTGACTTCGATGGTGTTGTTGTATATATGCATCAAAATTAAGAACAAACCAAACAATGTCCTAAGTTTTTTTTTTTTTTTTTCGCTGACTATGTCCATATATGAAATTAGAAAAATGGAATAAGAATTCAGAAAAGAAGGAAGTAAACGATGCTATTACTTCCACGAAACAGGTCGACTTTTTTCCTTCTCAAACAGAAATATTATTACAGCCACAAAAACAAAAACAAAAACAAAAACTCTGAAACTGAGCAAAAGGGTAACCTAACAAATATAGCCCTTTTGTTCCTGCAGGCCACATGCATTTTTCTTACTGTTAACTATGCCTGCAAAGGTTGGCGTTGCTTAAAAATTCACTATCTGCTCCTCACTCCTCCCCAGAGAAACTCACTGCATGGTTTTAATAACACATGCAGTTGCCATTTCCCCATATATACATACATATATATCATAGTAAAGCTAATTTTACTGAACTTTTTCTGCAATCAGGAAACTGATCTGAGACCAGAAAATTAAAGTATCATCCGTCTTATCTCCATTATATTTTATTTCAGGTATACATTTTGATTATACTAATTTGTTAAAATAGTGTTATCACACATTTATAAAATATTAATTTTTTTATAATTTTATAGTTAAGTTACATCTTTTTATTTATATTCAATTGATTTTAAATTAAAATTTAATATTATATCATAATTCAAATTTTATTATGTTATTCTTATATGTTATTCTTTTTAAATTTAAATCTCTTAAAATGATGTATCTCTACTCTATTAAATATTAAATATTTTATAATTTTATATTCAAGTTAAAACTAGAGTGCTTTCTTTTTTTTTTTTTTTTTTTTTTTTGATAAAAGAGACTTCTGTCTGGCCACAATATCTAGAGTATTTATATTAAACTGTGGGGAACAATTCACCTGAGAGAAAAGGAAAGGTGGGAAAAAAAAAAGTACTCAAAAAGTTTGAGATATGGAACAAGTTTTCAGAAGCCAGGTGATGCTGGTTTCCAGTACAAACAGTATTTTTCTGAAGATCTGAGAAACTTCGATATTGCTATATCACTCTAACAGTACATTAAAGGCAAGTTCCCATATTAAAGCAGCTTCCTGTTGGGTTGCTTTCAAAAGACAGAAGAAATTTGCTGTTGCCTTTGGATGATAATATAATTCAATTTAAGATTTTTTTTTTCTTTTATGGGGATTCTTTTCCCTTCTTCTATTGGGTGAGATAAAGGATGGTCAAGTCAGCTAACCAGGATCACCAATAACAATGATCTAAGTCTTTCAAGTGTTTAAATTCAAGTGCACCAGTTTCCCAAGATGACCTTTTTTTTTTGTGCATTTTTCAACAAAGAAAAAAAACTTTTAACTGGTGAACAATCCATTTGCACCAGAGACATGTCTCCTTTTCTACAGGCAACATCCCTTAAAATTATTTCAAACACAGTATATAAACACATCCTCTACAAAACATCATGTAAGAAATTAAGCAAATTGTATATCTCACACCAAAAGTCTCCAAATAGTGATGGCTCCATCAAGAATCTGCCCCAATGGCCTTAAAGTTACAGTCACTGTGGCCCTCATTTTCTCTATTACATTTCTGCCTCCATCATCAGGTAATTAAATCCGAAAACTATTTGGGTTTTGTTTTAGGTTCTTTTGGTTTCAGGGTTGAGTATTATTCTGTCTTCATTTGCAGTTGGAACACTAAACTCACGTCACAGTGAAAGCTCGTTACAGCGAAGTAATATGGTGTTGGGGTCAAAGCCTCCCGCTTGTGTGAACAAGTGCCTAAGTTGCAGGCCTTGCATGGCTACTCTGGTCATTCCTTCCCATCAATGGAAGAATTTCAGAGCTGCATATCATGGTGATGAAGATGATAACTATTATCTCCTCTCATGGAAATGCAAATGTGGTGACAAGCTGTTTCAACCTTGACCATATGACCACAACAGACCATTGCTTTCAGCTCTGTCAAGTTATTTTAGATATTAAACCCTGATATATATATATATATATATATATATATAAACAGTACTACTGCTATAGTTGCTAGGCCATCTCTTGTAGATATTTGAGAGAAGATGATATGACAATTTTCTGTTTCCCACTATTAGATGTGCAATCTCTCTGATCATTTCTAGCGTGTTCGAATAATCCAACATTTCCATGCAAATCTGTAGCATGAAAAGACTGACCTCTGCCTCTCAAATCCAGTTTTTATTAACTGAACTAAAGATGGAAACGTCAAGCTTTCCTTGATCAGAAGCTATGCTTAATGAAAACAATTATTTAATCTTTGTCGATGTTCCTTCATAGATAACAGTGACATTGGCATTACAGCAGCAGGGACAAGACAAACAAGAACCTCTACTGTCTGTCTTGTCTACCCCTGAGCTAGGTTGGTATGTAACTTGATATTGTTATTATCCAGCCGGCAAAACCTGTGTTTTGGTAAAATTTTGTATTTTTTAACGTATTATTGGTGTCCAGTTCAAGTAAGTGTTTTCTGTATCTGCACTTCAACACTTAAATCAAAGGTCGGCTCAGAAGGAGAGTGGAAAATAAGAAAAGTATAAGAAAGTTATGTCCTAGATAGCATTTGAATTTCCTTATTTATCGGCGAAAAGTTAAGAATCGGAGAGTTAAAATAATGATGTAATTGAACTGACATAATATTATACATATCAAATTGCTCAAAAGTCAACAATATCTTTTATTGTCAATTGACTGTCTCTAATTAAGAAAAAAACCAATTTACCCTTGAGATCCAAAAATACCCCTAACACATATATAGGTCAGTGAGGATTAAGTTAGCATCTTTAATCACATTTATTAATATATCCACAAATGCAGTGATAAGCAGATAAGATATATTAATATATCCATATTTCTTTGAGACCCTTGGCACTGTCTGCAGCTATTTTTAAGTATGGAGCAACAGAGGAAATATGTCATGGTTCAAACAATGCCTTATAGTGGTTGCTGCAAATTGCAATGCTTGGACTCATCTGTATTTTGGACCCATTTTATCTTAGCATTTCACACTACTTTTTATATGTCGTGCAAACTGGCTTTTTAGCTTACAAGATTGGCTCCCTTAGTGGAACGGATCTGATCATCATGCCTTGTCCTTATCTCCACATGGGAAATTAGAAATTGGTTTGTTCTCTTTAACAAAGAGACAATTCAACTGTACCAGGGAAAGAATAGGAACCAAAACAAGAACAAGTTAGGTGAGATCTATGTAATATTGCTGTAATATTGCTAAAATTTTGGTCTTTTTATATGCATTCAGCCTAGGTATTTTGCTTTCCTCTTCTGCTTTTTACATAGGTATCTCTGACCAAATCACATCTTTTTCCTGAATATGTTTGTGAATTTTTGTTTCACTATATCAAAAAAATTGATACGATATTAAAAACAGCTAGCTTAGAACAGGTTTTATAAAGGGAATTTGTAAAGCATATGTTTATCAGCATCTTTTAGGAATTTTTTTAAAGCTGTTGGCTTCAGATTAGACCACAAGAAAAAAAATATTGCTCTTGTATGCCTGGAGAAAAGTATTGGCAGCAGAGTCAAAATAAATGATAGCGAAAGGGCTAAAAATTTGTTTGTCAACTATTTTCTCCCCCACCTGAATGTGGCTTATTTCCATCAAAGGAGAAAAAAAATCTCTCTACCATGACCAAACTGGCCTAGGGTATCAAATTGCTAATGTCCAAGGAAATAGTCTTTTTACCACTGGAACTTGTCAAAACATTTCTTGTTCTCTTTCAAAATATGACATGCATACTGTTGAATATTGTGGAGAGGTCAGTCCAAGTTTGCACAGAGTTTCCAAAAAAAAGGCCAGAAAGTAACTTGCTCAATACAAAAAAAAAAAAAGAAGAAGATGTTTTTCTTGGCTAAAATTGACAAAAAAAAAGAACAGGTTTTGAGATTAATAAGGTTGAGTGGACAATTATTACAAGAGTTGGTTGGATATCACAGTAAAAAAAAATCATTAGTCCTAAAAGAATATCTCCCGTAACAGTGCTCTCTCTTGATCAAAAGAGAAAGAAAACATTAAAATGGGAAAAGTTCCATAAATCCTTATACAAACAAGGGGAAGGCCTGACTTAAATTTTTTCATAGATACTTGGGCTGAGTACCTAACTGCAGGAATGAACAAATTGGGCTTAAACCATTTTGAGCAACTCTGGCACTTGTGAGCCAAATGTTCAGACAAAAGGAGAGACAGATGAAAAACTGAAGTGAACATTTGAGGATTGTTGATAAAGAACACAAATTCAAGATCAATAACTTAGTGAGGATATACTCAGTTTTGACATCAGCTAAACAATTTTGTTTCTATATCATTTTATCAATTCTCCTATTGTCACTCTGTTAAATATTAAAAGTAACTCCACTAAAATGTAAGGAGGTCATCCTTGCATTTCACCTTTATCACCTTTAGCATGTTTGCATACTTTTTCTGCTGCAATCTCTTAGTGCACCCATAGTTTGTAACAGTAGAAGGGAGTTGTAGTCTTTTCACAACCAAAATCTCTGATTTTTCAAAGAATACCTGGACGCCAAGGTCAATAATGCGGGAGCAATCAACAACAAAGTCTTTTGGTACAAAAGATGTCATAGTTTGGGGATAGAAAAGGTGGTTGCAGGCTCTGAGATTTGAATCTCAGCCATGTTGGGTGCCACTTCTTAAAAATGATTGCATGAACCGAGTTAAACCTGGGGTTCAACAACAAGGTCATTGGGCACAGTGAAAGGTATATCTGGTAAGAAGTACAAGGTAAATCTTTCCAAATATCCCATCAGTTGTCAGAATTATTACCTAAAACTGAGGTTAACTACTTTCGAAAAAAAAAAAGGGCAAACAAGGTTATTAAAGATTGAGAAGACTCTTGCTAATGACAAACATACAACAACCAGATCTACCAACGAATAGTTTTGACTACATAAATGTGCCAAGGAGAAGAAGAAATAAATGGGCTTACCGTGGCCTATAGCTTTGAAGTGTAGCAAATCTTCGTAGCTTGCAGACATAAAGCTGTGCAGTTGAGCAGGAAGCTCAACTTACGTTTTAGACTTAAGACTTGTATGCTTGGTCCAGCCAGAGGATATCGGACCAACCCTATCATTGCATATTCCCTCTGATGGCAAAAGAATCTTACAGGTTGATATGCAAGCGATAAATTTTGGTCAGCAGAACTCCTTGAAGAAAAAGACGGAAAACGGCAGATATGCAGATACAAAAGTGGAAAGTAGTTTGACGTACAGCATGTGATTTTGAGTGGGAGATGGATTCTACAACCCATTTGCCCCCCAGATGTGGTTGTTCCTCTGGACTGAGACGGTACTCAGAAAAACATTGAATGCTGATGGCTGGGAGAAAAGGAAATATATGTGCTGAAAAACAACTTTATACAAAAACTCAGAAGACTTTAACTCAGTTATATATATTGCAAATATTTGAAGATCATGCCCTATTTAGTATTTCAATTTTCAAGTAAAGCTCAATCCAATAAATTCTAGTTTCCATTATGCACAGGTTAAATCTTTAAGAATCCAAAAGAGAAACAGAAGTGCCATGACATTAGGTATAAACTTTTATAAGGACAACTCTTTACAAAGCAGAGCAACTCTTGGACTTACAAGTATACTGAAGAGAACATACAAACCATAAAATCATAAAAACCTGGACATGTTAAGGCTACTAAACGATGAATCGGAGCCAAAACTGGAAACTTACACTTGAATATTTGTACTTCGTAGATGCATATCCAAGTATAACAATAGCTTTACTCACCGTGGACCTGATAGTCTAATGTCAGACAAAAATGCACCACTATTGTACTCTGTTTGTCCTGATGATGTACCCTCATCACTGCTCCATTTAAGAAAACCTGAGTACGCCCTAACACCTGGGAGGGCAGAGATTGGGGGCTGAGGTACATCACAGAGACCTTCAAGCATCTGAACTACTTTAGTCATTGGTGGTCTTAATCGCATTTCTTCTTGTATACACCACAGTGCAACTTTTATCGTAGTGACAAACCTTTCATCTTTTTCGTTAACATCTAGCTTGGGATCAAGGATTTCTTTAAGATTTCCTTCTTCCAACATCTTGAAGACAAACGAAGGTAAATAAGCTTTCTCAGGAATCTCATCAGGATCATAACTCTTCCTACCGCCAATTATCTCAAGCAAGACCATACCATAGCTGTATACATCACTCTTCTCCGATATAGGGTTGTTGGTAATCCATTCTGGTGCAAGGTATCCCCTTGTACCTCTTAGTGTTGTATATACCAGGCTTTCTTCACGGCTCATAAGCTTGGCCAAGCCAAAATCTGAAACTTTGGCATTGAAATTATCATCAAGAAGAACATTTTCAGGTTTTATGTCACAGTGCACAATCTTCAATTCGCATTCCTCATGGAGATAAGCCAATCCCTTTGCTGTACCCAATGCAATATTAAATCTTGTATTCCAATCCAAAATGCTACTTTCTTCATTGTTCTTGAATATCCATTTATCTAGAGATCTTTTGCCCATGAACTCATAAACAAGAAGCCGGTGAACACCCTCGGCACAGAAGCCTTTGAGCTTGACCAGGTGCACATGATGGATACTTCCAATAGTCCTAACTTCAGCTCTGAACTCCTTCTTTCCTTGTCCTATGCCTTCCAATTTTTTAACAGCCAATTGGGTGCCATCTGGCATCACACCTTGGTAGACTGAGCCAAATCCTCCCTGTCCAACCTTTTTAGAGAAGTTTTTAGTTGCCTTACACAGTTCACCATAAGTATATCGAACAGGCATCCCTGAAAAACTGTCCAGGAAATTATCCTCCTCCAAGTTTTCTTCAGCACTTTCGAGCAATCTCTTCTGTTTGCGGTAGTAATAGAATCCTACAGAAAGTAGACCGGCAATAACCAGACTTGTTGCTACTGCTATTGTCACAACAAATATTACACGCCTAGCTTCATTTTTTCTGACTTCTTCAGCATGATTTTGCCAACCATCTTCATTCCTTGAGACCTTCACATATGAAACAAAACCACTAGAACCTGGCTCAGCACGCTTCAGACCTCCTATGCGGTCAAACAAAAAGCAATTCCTAGTACTGTTTTCAAAGAAAAGTGCAGTACAAGAGCAGTTTCCAAGGCAAGCTTTCTTGCAAGCATCTAAATCAGAGTTCATATAGGGCTTGACAAACTGAAGCACAGAATAATCAAGCTTCTGACCAACATAGAGTAGATCTGCTGAATTACAGGTTGAGGGCATTGGTGGTCTGCAGTCGTTTCGGCGCAGAAGTTCAGGGCATTGACATATAGTGTCAAAAGAGCACACCATTAATGGTGGACAATAGTCGGGACTGTTGCAGGGGTTTTCTGGTATCTTTCTTCCCTCAGCAATTGCTCTACTTTCCTGATGAAGATTATAGAACGCAATCAATCCATCTGCTCCTAATTTGGCAGCCCATGTGACATTCACATCAGAATTTTGAGAGAAGTTGAGCTGCCATAACAAGACTTTATCGTGATCATAAAAGTTCCATGAGTTGGATATTAAACATGCAGAATGAACCTTGCCGGTGAAATTTTTACTGGTTTTCTGGATTTCATCTAACAAGGACCAATAAGTTTGCGGAGTCAGGAACCCCGTGTACAAAACCAAATTCCCAGACTTAAATTCAAGATAATCACTCTCATCCATTTTGGGAAAACTTTTAAGCCTCATTCCTTCCATAAACTCCTGGCCAGATAAAAGGGTATCAGTGGGATAGCTAAAACTCTGCCAAAGAGTTCTTCCATTGTCCCCATGAAGTACCAAGTTACCTGAGTCCAGCAATTCCAGGGATGTCGCCCTTTCTCCTGTTGTGTTTGTCGCCCAAGCAACCTTATCTCCTCTTTCCAAATAAATATTTCCATTATTGTCAAACACAAACTTATCAGATTTGTCAACCGAGGCTCCTCTATTAGCAGTCCAAACAAGTTGGAAGGGTTGAAGATGAATGATAACCAAGAGAAAACTTTTAGCATCCAGGGTAGTAAAGAAGCCAAAACCAAATAATTTATTTTTGGATAAGAGGAATACGCCCTCATGTTCTACCCACTGCGTCTGAGATGCTTGGAATCCTGGATATATCTGGCCAACACGTTGATTGACAGCAATACAGATTTTGATGGCAAGGAGTAGACAAAAACACAAGGTTCTGACTCTGAACAAACCCATAATTCCTGTAAATACAAGCTGCTCAGCACCAAGTTTGCTAGCTAGTATCCTGAAAATTGAGCAAAGATTTGATACCTATCAAAAAGTGAAGACTTTGCTCAAGCTAATACACAAAAATTAGGAGAAAAAAAAAGATAATTTGGGTTTTTGGGTATATATCCCCACAAGATGGAAGCGTAATTGTGGAAAAATGGGTTTCTGGCTAGTTACAACAGGAACCTTTTACATCTAAATTCTGAAAAAGATGTAACAAAATTTTGCAGAGAAAATAAGCTAAACTAGCGTCCAATTTACAAGCTTAATGCGTGACAATTCAATTAAGTAGAAAATACTGGCAAATGAAAAAAAAAAAGTACAGATTTGCAAACACTCTAATGATGTAAGTGAAGCAAAAAGCAAAGACAAAACAATACTAAAATTCTGGAAATAAAAGGAAATGAAAGAGGATTCAAAGTTACTACAATCATGAGTTTTCACTGTTCTAACAACTTACCAGCAGGTTAGAAACCCGTAAGAGCTTTCAAATAGTCTTTGATGATTGATGAAGAGGCAGAAGAAAGATGACCCAGAACATGAAAAGGGGACATCACCAACCTCAATTTTTTTGGTTCAGTCCGAGAAACGTAGAGTATGGCATCATTGGGTACTTGCATTTCTTTTTCTTGACTTATTAAAAGCAAAATTAAAAGTAAAATATCTATGGGAAATGGGTATCATGGATGTTTCTTTTTCCATGTGGAAATTGTGGTAGTGAAATGGGAGAGTGAGTTGGTGGGGCAGCTGGTACGATTTTTGCCGTCAACGGTCAACTTTTTAAATTCTTGCTACATTTTATTGTTATAGATTAACATACTTTAAATCTCAATCTTTATTTATTAAATTTATTTTTTTATTTTTTCAAATTCGCATCCTCTATCAACTTACATATTATTAAATTATCTGAGCAAATACTCAACTGAATATGTCATGTCATTAAGTACTCCTCTGTCTTTTTTTTTTTTTTTGAGATTTTTTAAAATTATATACATTTTTTTAAATATCTAAAACTTTTATTTTTTTGATATTTTAAATTTATTTATTATGATTTTTTTTATTTTTTGATATTAAAAATCATGTAATATTAAGTTTATAAAAAAATTTAATTTTAATATTAAATACATTAAAATTAAATTTTTTAAAATTCCTTAAAATTAATACCATTCAAATAATTTAAACAAAAAAAATAATGGCCATTATAGCTAATACTCATTAACTATTAATTAAAATTTACTTTGAAACATTGAAATTTTGAAAAATTTATCCTAGCTGAAAAAACTTACCAACATTTCAAGAAACAAAACAGAAATATACTGCAGTACAAAACAAGCCACTTTCTTTATCGTGTCTGCTTGGATTATTAGAAGAAAAGGAATATATTTGTTGAAACATGCTTTTCTCCGTCTGAACTCTGACTGCAGTTAGTTACCTTTAAAGAGTCAAGAGTACGACACATCAGCCAATCTTAATTTATGTTGGTGAGGCTGCTTTTTTGTTCAATAAAAATATAATAAAACCACTTGATTCCAACCTTGATTTTAAGTGGAAGAAGAAAAAAATGACTTTGCCTCTCTTTAAAGAAATTATTATTGATAGAGTTTTTAAATTTTATAATTGAGATTTAAAATTTATTATATATATTTGAAATATATTGTACAATTATATAAATTAATTATTTAATTTTATTAACGAATTTTTTAAGAGATAATTTTTCTTTTCGAAATCATTCCCTTTGAAGCATTAGTGTTATCGTCCGTTAGTGCTTATTTCTTTTTCTTTTTTAATTCCCCACTAAGCATTTTATGTAATCAAATCCATCATTTCAATTTTTGAAAATTTCTTTTGGGTGAAAAAAAAAATACTACACGGAATTTACAGCCATCAGCCATCAATAATGTTGATCATTACTGGTCTGATGTCATATACCTAAGCTGTTCAATTTTCTTTTGCTTGTTGTAAGTAATTATCAGGATATGAAAATTCATTTTCCTGTAAAAAAATTTTCACTTTCAATTTGTACATATAAAATAAATGTTATATTTTATTGTCGTTTGAATTTTATCACATTTTGGATTTGATATGATTAAATTCATCGTATCTTTAATTGAATCTAAATATTAATTTTAATTAAATCAAATTAATGTAAATTTTTTATTAAAATTTTTGTAATTATAATTATAATAAATCTTATTATTATTTTTAATTTCATCATAATTAATTTCATCGTCTATTCAAATAAAAATTTTATTTTTTTATGAATTTTTTTATATAAAAAAGGTTATATTTTGAGATAAAAAATTTTAAGTATAAAAATTTAAATTTAAAATTTATTAAATATTATTTTTTAATAATAAGGGATTCATAAATTTTTTTCGAAGTTATTTATTTATAATATATATAAAATTTCTTTTCAATATTTTTTAAACAATAATAATAATAATAATAAAAGAAAATAGCGCGTTCTTTAATTTCTTGGTGCTTCTGCAACTTTCCCCAATTTTCTTTTGTTTCCCACTCCTTTTGAGAATTGGTGAGTTTATTTATCAGCTCCACTACCGCTTCTCCCGACCTATACGGAAGTCAGGTATTACAGAAGGGTCCTAGAAAGCTTTAGCAAATAGACATGCCTTTTTGCAAGAGGTTGAACCCAACTTTTCTTTTAATAAAATAACATAAAAAAAGTGATGATAAATATTGAGGGTTGAATCAAAATTTATTGAATATTAATTTTTAAAATAATAATATAAATTAATTAAATTAAGTTTTAAATTCCTTTTTTCTTAACGATAAAAATGTGACAAATTTATATTATTAATCAAATGAGTGTCAGCGCGATTTGGAAATCAGAATCCACTTTCCCCTTCAATGACGGCGAAACGAAAAATATAATATTAAATTGAAATTACTTCATTATATCCCATATTTTGATTTTTTAGAAAAAAAAATACTATTATGTGATGATCTTTGAAATAATTTACTAAAGTTTAAAATATTATTATTAACAATTATAATTTAATTAAATTTATTTATATATTTATCATTAAATTTTGATATTTAATAAAATATTACCTAAGTCTTATAGCATGTAATTACTTTTTTTTTTTAATTTTTAGACTGATATGTTGACTTTTTCTAAAAAATTATTATTCTCAGTACATGTAATAATGAGGTCATGCCATCGTAAGATAACAAAAAGCTAAAAACACTGATATAATCATGTACGGTATAGGAGTAATAAACCGAATTTGAACCACTGCAATATTAAATTTAAGTTTAAATTCAAGTTAAAATTTAAAATTTAAAATTAAAGTTAAATCGATCAAATTTTATTTTTTTAATTTAAATTTAATTTGAAATAAAAATTAAATTATTTGAATTCATTCAATTATATTTGATTAATATGTAAATATAAATTAAATTTTTATTTTTAATAAAAATTTAATTATTTATGTTTAAACTTGAAATATTTTATTAATTAAAATAATTAAAATATAAAAATTTAATTAAACTTTTAAATTATTCGATTCAAGTATAAAAATGATAAAACTTAATTCGACTAATAAATTATTATTCAAATTTAAGCTCAATTTAATAATAACTAAATCAAATTTAAATTTTTTTTAAATAATTTATGAGTATTAATATATTATTTACATATTTAATGCATGGTTTATATAATAAATATGTACGTACAAGCGAAGGTAATGAAATATGTATACACAAAGTCAATAGACGACGAAAGATTGTTTGTGTCATTACAAAATTTCTTTCACTTATGATTATTAAGTTTTTATTTTGGTTTTACTTTTGTTTTTGATCTCTTAATTATTTTATTAAAATTTCTAATTTTTTAAAATAGTTTAATTTTGAACTTTTAATCTAATTGTAATTATTGTGATTTGTTAAAATTAATTTAATGCTCATATTACAATGAATCTGTTGAATATTTTTTTACAGTTTATACGAACATATTTTTTGATTATTAATGAAATAATGTAATGAAAAAAATTAAAATAAAAACATCTTAAAAGGGTTAAAGATCCAAATAAAGTCAATAAGATTTTGTTTTTGTGGCAAGTAAAAAATCACAAAATTTTAATATTTTAGATTCAAATATTATTATGTGTGGATTTAATTTAATTTTTGTTAAATTTATCTTGTTATGTTCTAATTTGATTAGTTTAATTATTTGATTATTCGATGATATAATATTTTATTATAATTATAATTTGCACTTATAATTTCATTAAAAAGGATTAAAGTGAAACTGAAATAAAATATTAAAAATTACAAATACAATTGACCCTAAATTTCTTTGCCCAGATTCTTGATATACATATGAATTGATTGGCTCTGGGGTTTGGTACCAAAATGTAATGGGAACATGGAAATTTCACTAATTCACATAGCACATGTCCTATTGACCTGTTGAAGGTATGGATTCGAGATTTAATTTAATAATCATTTAAAAATAATAATATTTAATAAATTAAAATTTTTAATTTCAATTTTAATAATTTTTTATTTTACTTTCAATTAATTACTTCCTTTATACTAAAAGAAAAAATCATCAACGACGAAATCGTGAATCCTAAAAATGGTTGCCCTAATCAAAGCTCCAAGGCCCAAAGTATATTTCTGCAAAGGGTGCGCAAGCAGCCATGTCAGGCATAAGTGTTGAATTTTGATTTTGGACTAAGACGGCTTGGGCCCTTTAAACTTGGGCAGTGGTTTTTTGGGCTTTAATATTTTGGAGTGGTCATTTGATTTTCCATTGTTTAGTACGCTACAACCGCCAAAAGTTACATTTTCAAAGTAAACTTTTTTTTAAAATAATAATGATATATTGAGTTCATGATAATGAATGTGCGTAAAATCCAACGGCGGAGTTCCAGTTTGTTGATGTCTTGGAGGAGCCAGACTGGGCTGTTTGTTTAGGGAGAACTGGTTCAGACCTGCTGAGGAAAAATGAATGATCAAGATGCATCGAATTCATTGATGCTAATGTAATTTTTTTAAAATATTATATAAAAATTATGGTATCTAAAACATATATAAAAATTATCCGGCAACTCGATTTGCTGAACACATCTTTAATGTCATTTAAAAAAAAATAAAGGATAAATTTTCGAAGAAAACTCTTGCTGTCTCCTTTCGAAAACGAGAGGAAAGTTCCAAATCTTCGACAAGAAATTCAACTAAGAAAAAACCTTAAAAACCCTTCAATCTCATGCCACTTTAGCTGCCTTACTCTTCTCTTCAGTAACCCAACAAGCACAAGCAGTTGATAATGCCCCACCCATACCCACAACCGTAATCGAAGCCCTGCCAACCAAGCCAAGCCCATCAAACCAGTCACCCTTCTTTTAAAACCTCCTCTTAATTGCTCCCAAGCCTCAATCTCAATCCTCTGATCTTTCGGAAGGCAGTGGAGGTACAGCGAGTTCTTGAACACGGTCAAAAAGGGGAAAGTGATGAGAGCCAGGTTCAACAGAGACGGTTCTGCCCTCCAACTCACAGCAGTTGATGGCCATCGACCCTGACCTTGTTGACATTGAGCAATGAATGACGTTAATACTTCGGTATCCGAGGGTGATTCTGGTAATAGGCTTTTCAATTTTATTGGGAATTTGCTTTTCCTCTTCCTTGCTTTTGCTAGATTGTTCTTCCTATTCCAGCATTGCTCTTCATGGCTACCTATCAAAATTTCTTTTGCCTTCAATTTTAATTTTGAGCCCGCATGTTCCTTTTTTTCTTTTAGTTCGTGTTTTTTTTTGTGTCCGGGTATTTTTTATTAACAGAGATCTCTCGGAGTCTCAATACTGTAAAATACTTTTATTCTTCAATTTTTGTTTTGTTTTGGTTAGTTAATGCTTCCATGTAGTTAGTGTATTTTCGATGAGATTGGTTTTTGTCGTCTTAAATTTTATTTATTACCACCACACTGACAAAACTACGGGCCACCACCAGTAAGTTTCTCTATTATTTTAGTGTTGGTCTCATTTTCTATATGTGCAAGCTCTAAGATTTCTAATTATTGTTGTAAGTGAAATTTGTTGGTTTTGCAGATTGGATACTCATCTCCTTCACGGCAAACAATAATGGAGGAGCTTAGAATGTCCTCTTCAGTGGTGCCTGAACAACAAAATAATGTATCACTTTGTATTTATGTTGTTATGCAGTTGTGCTTTAAAAGTTAGAAATTGTGTTGTCATTTGCAGTTTTCAATCTTTGGATCCATACTGACTATTGGTTGAATCACTTACAGGAGATGTCCTATTATATGTCATCATATGCATTAAGCAACTTAGTATTTGGCAACTTTTTGTTATTAAATTCACCGCTTAACTTGCTCTCTTCCTGTCATTGCAGACAATAAAGATGTCATCAGTCATCATTCATTTGCATTTTAGGATGGCTCATACTCTACTTGGCCCTGGTTTGTTTTATGTTCAATTCTCAATCAATTTCTAATATAATCTTACCTCTTCAAGATGATGAGTGAACTTTCTTTTGCAGGGACCTCTATCTCTGGATTTTTGAAGATTTTTAACAGCATATGCCATTGGTGTTCACTCCTATGTGGTATACTTTCAATTAAAACTTTTAAATTTTTTTCTTATTAACAGGTAATTAATGATTTTTTTACATGCTAATTGAGATTTTTAATTGCATCATAGGTGCCGATATTCATTGTTGAGATAACCCCAACAAACCTTATGGGGGCTCTATTAACATTACATCAGGTACCAATGTTAATTCAAAGTTTCAAACTCATTTTACTAGAACTATACAGATGTACACTTTCATAAGCCATTCTTTCTTGACTTAATGATTTTACAGTATTTTACAGGTTTCCATTGCAAGTGGTCTTTTGGTGGCATTTACAATAAGTGCATTGGTTACTTGGAGAATACTGGCTCTAATTGGTAAGTCAGTGTATTAATCTTGCATTACTACATTGTCTTCATGGCAAGAAAATTGCAAATTACAAGCAGATTTTAATTTTCAACTATAACAGGAAAAACAGTAACAAAAAACTTATTTATTTCATGAGGCTTACTTAAAGTTGGTTCTTGGCTGTAGGAATGCTTCCATGTGCTGCTATGATTTTTGGGCTTTATTTCATCCCAGAGTCCCTTAGATAGTTGGTAAGATTGGTTTTTAATAAAAAATGGAACTTAAAATATTTTTAACATTCTTTCTATTTATAAGTTCATTGCCCAAAAGCATCAAATAAGTATTATCCTCATAACACAAGTTTCAGATATAACTGACAAAAATAAACATTTGAAATTTGCTTAAAAGGGTGATAAAAATACAAAACTAGAGGATTTAACTAATTCAGCACAAAGATAATCATTGGAGTTCCAAATGAAGCTATGAAGATCATAAGTATTAGGTAAAGTAAGTAAATTCTCTGGTACAGGCAATGGTTAGCAATGATGTTATTTGTTGCATTACTACATTGTGTTTATGGCAATGGTTGGCAATTTTTTAAATGGGTTGGAAACTCAATCCCATCTAAGATTTTAAATTGCATCGTAGGTGCCAATTTTTTGAATGGGTTGGAAACTCAATTTTGCATGTATTTTGGCTTGGGTTGTCAACATGTCATACTTATTGTTCAATGATGTTATTTGTTGCTTTCTGTTGAATGTGTTTAATTTGCCAATTTTGTTTGATGTTTTTGCAGGAAATCATATGACGCCAGTGTTTGACTTGGTCAATCCTCAACATAAGTAAGTAATCACAATTCACAACTTATAGTCGATCCTCGTTTGTTTTAATATATATCTTTCTATTTCTTCATTAGCAGTTGATCTTAGACTTTCACTCTATTTGCTCCACTCACTCTTGTATTATGTGGGTTTGGTCATGCATGTAGTTTCTGATATGTAAGACATGCCATATGCACATAACATGTATGGTCACAAGATGAGCTTGCATGGTCAGCATGCGAAAGAAAGGTGCTTGCATGGTCAGATTGAACTTGCATGGTGACAAGATGAAGTAATGAAACAATACCCTCATGCTTGTGCAATAAGAGACGTGAAGGATAAGGAACTAGGGAGCTTCTTTTATGGAATATCACCTTGGTAGGTGAATCATCTTACAGTTATTTGCTGCTTAGATATCCTTTTTCACATGCTTCATCTGTACTGAAGCAATGAGGAAATAATTTCACGTTGGTCAAATTTTGCAGTTCATGCTTATGGTTGCTGCCGGCTCAGTCAAAAAGGAGGTTTTTTCCAGGGCTGTTGTTCAGGTCTGTCATCTGGAAAAATTTACTTTTTATCGTATTATGTAAAATGTTGAATTACTTATATAGAAATTATTAAAATTATTTTTATCCAAGAGATATGGTATTCTCAAACTCGTGTAATTATTCTGCTATAATCTTATAGCATATTGCATTTTTATGTTGAAGTTGTCATATCTTTGATATCTAAATTGTGAGCTTCTTTTCTCAATTCCATGCTAGGCATATTGACAATCACTTGTGTTTGAAGAAAAAGGGAGCATTGGCTGATATATTCCTTAGTTTATTTATTTATCTAGTTTATTATTTTGTTTTATTCATTTTCTCAAAAAAAAAAAAAAATGAAAACAAGGGGAAAAGATAAGAAAAAAAGGAAGTTTGGGAAGGTTGAATTTATCTGGGATTGGTTCTTTCGGATTAAAAAGGCTTTTTATTGTAGCCAAAGTCTGAGCTTGCGTTAGAATGGAATTGAAACTTTTTAGACTTGGAGTTATGTTGAATTTGAAACAATATCCCTATAAAAGTATCACAGAATTGAAAACCAAAGAGAGAAAAAAAGGAAGGGAGGAGATCGAGCAATCACACAGCAGCCAAGAGCTTCAAAGAACAATCGATCGAACAAGCACGAGCAATCGGCAATAACAGAAACAACCAAAGCAGAGCAACGCAAAGGGAATCAATCAGAGAAGCGAGCAATTTCTCATAAGCAATTTCAGCTATAAAAATCAGAAAGGGGGAATAAAAAACAAGTAGAAAGCAGCAAGATCATTCAACAGGGATAGGAGACAAGAACATGAATTTGAATCACCAGCAGAAATAATCACATGCAAAAACCCCAAATCACAATTACGCATACCCAGAAAACCAAACCCATACCCATAGAAAATCAAACCGACCCTGTACCCAATCAAGCATGAACACAGGCAATTACCCAGCCACAAAGAAAATTCAATAGCAAAAATAAACGCCATCTTTTTAGTGGAGAATTTTTCTGTGATAATAAATAATTAAGAATAAATAAAAATTTATCCAATGATAAAATTCTAAAAAAATTAAGGCCGGACAATTTTCTTGAAAATTTTTAGGTGAGATTTTTGTTTTTCAAATTTGATTAAAGCATTCGAAGATTTAGAAATTGATCTTAATATAAGAATTTTTATTTATTTCTAACTTGAAAAAATTAAAAGAGAAGAGATTGTGATGATTTAATATTCGATGCATGATTGATTATTGCATAAATTGTGATTATATTTATTCAATTTTGAATCTTATAGTGTATTTTAGTTTTGTATTTATTAAATTGTAAATTTTATTATGTATTTCAATCCATAAAATATTTAATAAATCCAATGATGAAATCTCGTCAAGGAAATATGTGTATTATTTGAATACTTTTGAGGTAAAAAATATTTTTAGAGGGTTGACCAAAGTGTTGGAGAAAACTTATAAATATGTCTAATATTTAAATATTAAAATAAATAAAAACAATAAATTAATAAAAATTAATTAAGAATAAAAGACCATTGAACTAAGGTTAAAAAGATAATTTAAAATTAATTGGTACTATTTCATGGGCATTGTTAATAAGGTTTTCTAATATGTTGGCAACCTTATTTTTTTCTAAAATCACAAGCCCTCCAATACGTTAATAAAGTTTTTTATTTTATTAAAAAAATTATTTCTTAGAAACTTGAACCTTCCAATTTATTGGTAAGATTCATTTTAATTTGAAAATTTATTTTTTGGAAATTTGAACATTCCAATATGTTAGTAAGATTCATTTTATTTGAAAATTTCATTTCTTGAAAATTTGAACCTTCCAATATATTGGTAGGTTCATATTTATTTGAAAAATTTTTTTTTTTATAAAAAATATTTACAAATAAATAAATATATAGATAATCAAATAAATAAATAAAATAAACAAATAAATAAATAAAAAATAAATAGATTAATTAAAAATTATACAAATAAAATGAAAAATAAACAAATAAACAAATAAATAGATTAATAAAAAATTATAAAAATAAAATGAAAAATAAACAAATAATAAAATAATAAAAAATGAAATGAAAATATACAAAAAAATAGAAACTCAGTTTGGCGGTTGAAAAGGTGCGGTAATAGGCATGGAAGATAACTGAATATGGTGTGACTCAATACTAGGTTTTTTTGGCTTAGAAGCTCAATTTGCTCAAAGGGATTACAGGTCATCGGGTCATGCAGTACAATTCGGGTTGAGTCATGAAAAAAAACGTGGATCTAAGGGGTTTTCTTTTTTCTAAAATGGCATCATTTTTCCCACATATAAAAGCTCAAAATTTCTTTATTTTCCTTAAGACTTTTTTCTCTTTTCTCTCTCTTTCTTAGTTTTCTATTCCCCAAAACTCTCTTTTTTCTCTACATTTTATGGATTCCAATTGCTAGGATCATTAACATTGCTGGCAAAGGTCGTTAGTTTCTTGGTTTGTTGTCGGCCGCTAGGAAATGGTCACTAGAGGTACCCCAAATTTTAGGTATTGTCGCTAGACTTGGCCAAAAAATTTGAATTCCGTCGAAAACTTTAATTGGATTCCAGAATTTCTAGAAAAATTTAGAAAAAAAAATAAAAAATGTCAGAAATCTTAATTTGATCTTTTTGAGGTTCTTGAATCCTTTGATAACCTTGATTTTTCCAATTGAACTAAGTCAAACTCCTCAACAAACTAACCAAATTCCAAATAAAACTTACTGCCAGATTGATTGTTTCTTGCTTTTTCCCCATTGATTGCTTTTTCTATTTTTGTTTTACATTGCTCTCCTTGCCATCTGTGATTTTTGTCTCTCATTGGAAATGAAGTAAAGGTCCATTTATAGGGAAAAATCAATAAAGTTTCAAATCAAATATGACTCCATCATATTATCATAAAAAATTTAATGTTTATCTTCAGCAATTTCAATCTAAATCCATTTTGATAAACTAACGTTATTACCAAATTACTGACCCTTCTTTCCAATTGAATTCAATCATTTGAATTTCCCTTTTTTTTGTTTGAAAAATTGCTCAAGTAATAAAAATAAAAGTTTAACAAAGATAAAGAATAGAGAAAGAAAATAAAATAAAAAAACAATAAATAAGAATAAAATAAATTTTAAACCCTAGACAAAATGGGATATCTACAACTACTCCTATTTGCGTATTTTCTATGTAATAGGAACTATGCAAAGACATAGACATTTATTACATCTGGGTTCAAAGATGAAATTATTTGAACCTAACCAAAGGTCAAAATGAAATGACTTAGACAATGTTAAAAGTTAGAAAACGATTGGACTTAGCCATAATTGAAAATAAAATGACTTAATTTTAACCAAAGTTGGTGAACAAAATGACATGGTCTTAATTGAAGTAAAATATATATATATAATTTGGATTAAACCAAAAGTTAAATGATAAAGGTGACCCGGACTAAACCAATGTAAAAAATAAAAGTGATCAGATTGAACCAAGGTTAAATGTGAATGTGACTAGATTAAACTAAAGTTAAAAATGAAAAAGATTAGATTAAGCCAAAGTAAAAAAATAAAGGTGACAAGATTGAGCTAAAGTCAAAAATAAAAATGACTGAACTAAACAAAGGTAAAATATGACTAAGTCTGAGCCTAAATCAAAAATAAAAATGATCAGACTGAGCCAAAGTTAAAAATGACTAAGTTTGAGCCTAAGTTAAAATTAAAAATGATCGGACTGAGCCAAGGTTGAAAATGACTAAGTCTGAACCTAAGTCGAAATTAAAAATGACCTAAGTCAAAAATGAAATTAACTAGATTGAACCAAGGTCGAAAATAACTAAGTTTGAGCCTAAGTTAAAATATGAGATCAAACGTTCTTGAAAATAACAATCGTAAGTTTTAAAAATCATGTTTGGAGGTCTTATAGATCATACTCAGAGGGCTTTGAGATTATATATGGAAGACTTACAAATCTTATTCACTTTTTGAGACAGAGGAATGCTTCTTGAAACTTTTCAACTAAGTCTTATCATTTTTTTAATCAAATATTATCTTTTGAAAAGTTTCGCTTAACCGAGGACTTACTAGTTCAAAATTCTTTTATCATTTCACTAATTCAAACTTCTTATTGATAATGTATGCAATGAATGTCATGAATGCAATGAATATCATGAATGCAATGAATGCATCCATAATTGTGGTAAAAAAGGTTCTCAAGACTCTTTTTTCATCCTTAAAATTGGTTATCTTCATAACTTCTATCAACCATTTATGAACCAAAATATCCTTTCACCAAATTTGAACTTTTGTCAAGATGCTTCTTAAAAATTTTGTAGATCAACATTTTCACAAGTTTCTTTCATCACATTATTTCTATTCTACCCTGTCATTATCTATTTTCTTTTCAAAGTAATGTAAGGATCTTTTAGGTATTTTCTTATTTATTTCTCATTATTCCAATTTCATGAAAAATGCAATTCATCACATATTTTCTTATTATGGAGAAACAACAATGGTGAGAAATAAACTAGTTTAAAGAAAATCGATATTCAATGCAAGAACAAGTCTAGTAAAGCATCATAGACATATGGACAATATCAAAGCATATTGCTAGGATAAGTGTTTAGATAGAATTTAAACATCTAAAATAATGAATATTCAAACAATTTTTGACGCCAATTCAAAACTCTTTCTTAGAAACTCATTTTATTGACACCTTTAATCTTTTTAGGCTTAAAATCCAAGTCTTGTATCTTAGCCTATTAAACTTCTGAATACTCTTAGGCTATCTAATTCGTGCTTCCAGCCATTATATCTTTTTTTTACTTAAAGCGTTCTTTAGGATTTTCAATTTAAGTCTTCATTTTTTTATTTTTTATTTTTTATTTTGCTTCATTCCCTATTGGCATTCTATTGAATTTCATATGAATCCTCAAAATATAAAATCTCATTATCCATAAGCATGCCTAACTCAATATATAATTATTCAATTTTATCATTCATATTTGATTGAAATAGATTTTTAAAGCATGTAATTGAGACATGGTGAAAGATTATGAAAAAAAAAAGGGGATAAAATAGGTTCAAAATATGTGTTTGAAATTGTGTAAACTAAAGGATCATCTTTCATCATTTGAACCACCTTGACATTTTCCCTCATTCTTTATTAAGTGCCTTTATACTTTCTCTCTTT